CATCGATCCAGATGTAGTGTGGGGTCACTTCGGGGGGACAGGGCTTGGGCTGGCTGGCTTCCGACGCTGCCAGCGGGTCGGCCTCCTTAATCTCCGCAGAGAACAGGCCGAACTTCTGCTCCACCGTCATGTGCCAGGCCCCCGCCATCTCCCGCATGAACTGCAAGGACGGAACGGAATTCAGTTCCTCTGCCACAGAAGAGCTGGTCGCTGCATGCGAGTGCGTTTCAATGTGCTAGAGGGCACATGTGCTCAAGAGACAGAGACAGAGACAGAGACAGAGAGGGGAAGGTAGGAGCACCCGCAGGGGTGCGTGGTCCGACTGTAGCCCAATGCTCTCCACCCTGCGGGGCCTCCCCTGCCACCTGTCTACGGACACCAGGAGGGAGGGCAGTGGGACCCGAGCGAGGCCACAGGGAGCAAGTGAGGGGAGCAGAGGGCAGGAGGTCGGGGTGGTAAGGAGGACCGTGGTCATGGGAGCAGAGAGGGTGGGCAGACCGACAGGTCGGGGGCAGGGAGGGTCACGTGCAGCTCAGGACAGGAGCTCTCGCTTGAAGCGTGGCCCGATGGCACTGTGTGCCGTGACCTCGGTTTCACGGCTCCCTCTGACCACACGTGGAGAAGGTGGAGAGAGGCCTGGCGGAAGCTGAGAGGGCAGGGGCGACAGTTGGGGTATTGGGAAGGGGTCAGATTCTGGACACTTCTTTATGCCAGGGGGTGTGTGTACAAGGGAGAGAAAGAAAGCATTCCCCAGTGGAGCCTGGTCACTCCACAATCTTTGTTTCTCTAATTCTCCATCCTGTCAGGATTCTGGGCACAGGGACCAGCAGTTGGCATAGTGGCTATGTCGCTGGACTTCCATGTAGTTGACCCCAGTTCGAATCCTGGACCCGGTGTCTTAAACTCATGCCAGGCACGTGTGCGTGCGTGCCCAAGATCCCGAGAGGAGAATGGAGGAGAAAGGATTGCGGCATGGCCATCCCCCCTGGGGAGCGATTTCTCGCTTTCTGTCTCCCTGTCTTTCTGGTGAGTTCATGTGCCCTATAGCAAAAACCTCTCCCCTACCCCACCCCCCCACCTCCCAAAAAAGAAGAAAGGATTCTGGCCATGGGCCAACGCTCCTGGTGTTTCTAAGCCGGCAGGGCTGGGACTCAGGCCTGGCCGCCTCTGTGGGATCCAGCTTCCTCTGTGCGGCGCTGACCATGGTGCTATGGGGCTGGCTCGGTTCTGGTGTGTGTTCCAAGTAAAGAGGCCAAGCTATCAGGACTGAGGAGGGCCACGTGTGGGTGGCAAGGGTGTGGGGAGTGGACGGCGGCCACGGGGATCCCGGCTGAGCCGAGGGAAGGACTGCACTGTCATCTATGTGTCGGGGCCGGGTGACCTGTGTGGGTGGCAGTCTGGAGCTGGGTTTCAACCTGCCAACTCGGGGCTGCCGACTGGCTAAGGACACGGAGTAGGTGTGAAAGGAAGGGCCGAGGTGGGGGATGTGGGCTGGGTATGCGAGGACACCGGAGGGAAGAGGGGCCCTGCCGGGCTTGGGCAGCCCCCCTACTCCAGGGATGAAGCACTGCAGCCAAGCATCCCGTGAAGCACTGCAGCCAAGCATCCCTGGCACAGGCAGGTCCAGCCCCTCCCACCACCTGCCTGCTGGCTCACTGAGGTTTATGCTCCATTCTCCGGGCCACCTGAGGTCCCTAAGGGCCACCAGGCAATATGACAACCAGAAAGTACCTCCAGTCAGTTCTGAAAGGCCCGGGAGAACCTCTGGTAAACAAAGATGTTTAACAATCCCCAAACAAAGTCCCTAAAGACAGAACACTGGTGCTGAAGCCTGGAACAGCCCGTGCAGGGGTCTGCGTGGGTGACTTCTCAGAAACAGGTCCCTCTGGGACCAGGAAAGGGACAGCCCCGGGGTTCCAGGGAAACCGTCAGCTGGCACCAGAAGGCCTGGGCTCAGTGACGGGAGAGGGCGATACACGTCTGGCCCCACGGCGGCCTGGCACGGTGGCGGGAGGTAGACCAGTTATCAGGCACAGGGAGCCCCCGTGCCTTTCTTTACTCTGGGCCATGAATTTGAACACCCTGCCAGGGGTCGCAGCTCTTTCCCACCTTGGGGAAAAAAGGCCCCAGACTCTCCTGGGAGGCCAAGCTCCACATGGGTCCTCACGCTGAGCTGCACCCCACAAGCTGGAGCTCTCTGTCTCCTCATGAAGTGCAGGAGAGACAGCAGAGACATCAGAATACCACCTGTGCCTGCCTCTGCAGCTGAGGTTACAGAGGGATGAGTCTTGTTTTTCTTTTTTTTTTTCCATTATGGTTATACCTTCTAACTTCTCCATCAAAACCATACATTGCTTTTATAATAATTAAAAAAAAAATAGAACATAATACAAAAAGCCATAGGAGGAGCAGGTGAATTGCTCGGCCTGGACAGGTAAGGTCCTTTCTTTGTTTGTTTCCCTTTGGAGAGATTTTTGCTATAGGGCATGTGTGCTTGTCAGAAAGACAGAGAGTGAGAAATCACCCCCCAGGGGGGACGACCACGCTGCAATCCCTTCTCCATTCTCTTCTCAGGATCTTGGGCATGCACGCACACACACCCGACATGAGTTTAAGCCACCGGGTCTGGGACTTGAACTTGCAGTTGACTACATGGGAGTCCAGCGACATAGCCATTATGCCAACTGCTGGTCTCAGATTTTTGTTTTTGTTTTTGTTTTAAGAGACAGATTTTTGTTATAGGGCATGTTCATTTGCCAGAGAGGCAGGGAGCAAAAAGTCACCCCCCCCCCAAGGAGATGGTCACACCACAATCCTTTCTCCTCCCTTCTCCTCTTGGGATTTTGGGAACGCACGCACACATGCCCGGCATGAGTTTTAAGCCACCAGGTCTGGGACTCGAACCATGGTCGAGAGGTTTGACTACCCGAGAGTCCAGTAATGTAACCATTACGCCATCTGCTGGTCCCAGTATGTTGAAAGATTTCAAAGAAATGATGGAATGTATGAACGAAGACATAGAGAGTCCTGAGAGAAAATCCAAACTGAAAGAAAGAAACAAGTAGAAATCATAGGTTGGGGGCCGGCCCTGTAGTCTAGTGGTTTAAGGAGCAGAATCCCACGTGGCGGACTGTGGTTTGAATCCCAGCCCTGGTGGCTTGAAAACCACATGGGGCAAGTGTGCTTGTGTTCCTGCACTCCTTTGGGGGTGGGTGCTTCCTCCCTCTCCCTGTCTCTATCTCTGGCAAGAAGAGCACCTCTCCTCTGACAATTAAAAAAAATAATCCTTAAGGAAATTCTTTGGGCTGAAGAGAACAATGGCAAATTTGGGCCTGCAGGATCACTCAGAGAATCTGAAGAGTGTGAGAAACAGAAAACCATTTGGTCCTGCTGCAGGGGCATCTGGGAAGGCCCCGGATACAGTTCCTGGGTTGACCTGAATGCGCTGGGCACACCTTCATGGCTACCCATGATCCTGACTGGCTGGAAGACTAGGAGGGTTTGTGGCATGACAAGACCCTGCGTGGGGAAGCGTGTGTACATATTTGTTTTTCTCACTCTCTCATAAAAGAGAATGGAAAATATTTGGATAAATTTATAAATTCCTTTAGATTTTTGGTCATTGAGCACATGCGCTTGCCAGAGAGAGACGGCGAGAGCCTAAGTGAGAAATCATGCCCTGTGGGGATGCTCACGCCACAATCCCTTCTCCTCCGTTCTCCCCCTGGGGTTCTGGGCATGCATGCACATGTGCCTGACATGATTTTCAAACTGCCAGGTCCGGGACTCGGCTATGTGCTAAGTCCAGTGCCTTAACCACCATGCCACTTGCTGACCCTTAAAGTCCTTTTCTGAATTTCTTCTTTGACTTTAGAACAAAAACGACAACATACGGTAGACCACGTGTAGCCACAAAACAGGTGCGAACAGGACACGAGGGGTGGGAGGGAGAAGCGGGTAGAGACGGTGCGGGCCAGCCGCCGTCCAACAGCAGTCAGCGCTCACTGACAGCTCACAGGAGGAGCTGCCCCTGCTTGGACGCCCCCGTGCAGGTGAGGAACACTGCTCTGGGGTCGGGAGCTCTGCAGGAGGGGGCGTGACTCTCACAGGCCTTGCCCACACTCGAGATGAGTGACAGCCAGACTAAGATCCCAGAGCCCACTTTGGCTCAATGGAGAACAGTTCCAGGGGCCAGGGGTGGAGCCCAAGGTCCTAGTTGTCTTCCAGGGAGCAGGGCTGGGTGTCTCTCTGATCTGAATTCCCGTGGAAGTCCAGGGAGCAGGGCTGGGTGTCTCTCTGATCTTCATTCCCGTGGAAGCGCACCAGACCCAAACGTTTTCTTGGGATTCCAAATAGTGTCATGACTGACACAAGCACCACATGGTTATAAAATACCAGGTGAGTGTGAGGCACTGTCATTCCTGCCACCACCACCTGCCTGGAACATTCTCTCTCTTTACTCCAAATTCCAGGACCAGCAGATGGTGGAATGGTTATATCGCTGGACTCCCATGTAGTTAACCATGGTTCAAGTCCTGGACCCAGCAGTTCAAAACACACCGGGCACATGTGCATGTTCAAAACACACCGGGCATGTATGCATGCACGTCTAAAATTCTGAGAGGAAAAGGGAGTGCGGCATGGCCATCCTCTTGGGGAGTGAGTTCTAGATTTTTGTCTCTCTGGTGAGTGCATACACTCTATGCAAAAGTCTCTTTTAGAAACAAAAAACAAAACCCAATTTCCCGTAGGGAACAAGAAAAACAAAACATCCTTTCTGATCACTTATCTCGACTGATCCTAAGAAAGAGGGGGAAAAAAAAGGGTCAAATTCCCTGTAAGTAGAAGTTAATGAGAACTCTGACAGATGGAACTGTCTTAGCTGTTCATCTCATCAGCCCCGCGGTCCCTAGCTTCTTACATGTCCATCAGTCTGCTAACAGGTAATAAACTCTCCTGCCTAGCAACACTCCAGAAACAGAGATAAAGGGCCAGAGGCCGATCCCAAAGTGAGTAGGCCAAGATTGGACCTCTCAGATCCCAGGTCAAACGGCGTTCGACGGGGTCTTCCAATTGCAGTAGAGGAATGGCTCCCCCTACTGAGCTTTAGAAAAATAACAGCCTCCGCTTTCTAACCTAGACTTCCCATTCCCTGGGGCAGTTCTGTGGCCAGGCGTTGTTCACACAATGCACAGGGAGACTGAGGCTCCAGAGGGCGAGGGTCCTCCACGCTGGGTGGTGGTGGTGCCAGGGCAGCCTCTTGCCAGCCAGCTCTGGTCCCGCCCCGCCCCCCGAGCTGACGCGGACGTTGTCCTACCGGCACTTCCACGCCGTTCTTGCCGGCCAGCAGCCACTCCCAGCAGGCCAGGGCGGTCTCCATGCCATGTTCGTTGAACATCCGGAGGGGACCCCAACACAGGTGATGCAGGAGCTGCGGGTCACAATCTGCAGCCAAACACACATGGCTCAGGGGCCCCATCTGGACCCCCAGGTCAATGAGAGTCAGTACAGGTGGGGGCCGATGACGGCCTCTTATCTACTCTCCACCCCGAGGGAAGCTACAGAGATCTCTACGGGGGTGCCTGGGCTCTCGTCTGGCCACGGCTCCGACTGCTGGGATCACAGGCTGGCATCTGTGTGGACACAAGCCCGAGTTCGGGGCCGCTGCGTTACCTTTGCTGCTGATGAGCATGGCGGTCAGCTTGAACATGGCCTGCGTGTACAGCTGAGGACTGCCGTGGTCCAGCGCGGTGTTCAGGTCCTGGACCAGCATCCTGTTCAGGTCAGACACTTGGCCTGTGGCGCCTGAGAACCGAATCATTCCGTACACCTGCGGGGAGCATGCGTGTCAGCTGCCGGGCACGTAGTCCAGGCATGTGGGTGAGGCCCTAGCCGCCACCAGAGGACGTGCCTCATAGGACCGGTGGATGTCCTAAGATGACAGCCCTTGTTCGGTGACACCACTGCTAGTCACAGATTTTTTTTTTTTTAATATTGTCAGAGGGCACATGTGCTTGCCAGAGACACCGAGAAAGAGCGGGGGAAGCGAGAAAGCACCTCCCCATGTGGATGGCTACCCCTCAATCCCTTCTCTTCCATCTCTCCCTGCTTTCAGGATTTTGAGCACACATGCATGTGCGCCTGGAGTTTTTCAAGTCACTGGGTCTGGCCATGTGGGATCTAGCTGCCCCTCCAGCTTTTACCTAAAAACCTGTCTTCCAGAAATGCACTACGGTGCTCCCCATCACCGATACTCCCTGAGGGCAGGGACCTGGTCTCTGGTCTTTGTGCTCAGCACCGGGCCTGCGCTGAAACCATTCAAGGTGCCATGAACATGAGGTATATAAATAAATTGCCTTCAGCCAATTCATGACTCAGATAACATGATCAGACTCATTATTTTTAAACTTAGACATACTTTTTCCCCCCCAAGAAAGCATTGCTTTCCTATTCATAAGATTTAGTTACGAGGGAGGTCTGGGGCTAGCAGGTGGTGTGGTGGTTAAGGTGCTGGACTCCCACATGGCCGACCGAGGTTCAAGTCCTGGAGGCTTGCTTTCTTACTGTCCATCTCTTTCTCTCTGGTGAGCACACGTGCCCTACAGCAAACTAAAAAACAAATAAATAATTCTAAAAAAAAAAAAAAGAAGGAAGATCTGACTATTTCTACAAGACAAACCTATCCTTCTAAAGATGGACTTCCACCACCAGCGGGGGATTCAGAACAACGTGAATCGGAGTCTCCAAGGGAATCCCAGCAACTGTGGACGTGCAGCAGAGTGGGGTGGGCACAGGTCCCGCCTGCTGAGGCTCACAGCAGGCGGGGAGTGCCCAGGGTAGGGGCGAGCTCCCCAGGGGGACGCGACACTGCTGCACTGTCAGAGTCACCAAGGGACCTTAGAAATGATGCAGGCTGGGACAAGCAGATGGCGTGATGGTTATGTCACGGGACTCCCATGTAGTCGACTGCAGTTGGAGTCCCGGACCTGGCGACTTAAAGCTCATGCCAGGCGTCTGTGCATACGTGCCCAAAATCCCGAGAGGAGAATGGAGAAGGGAATGCGGTGTGGTCACCCCTCCTAGGGTGTCATTTCTCGCTGTCTCTCTGTGTCTCTCCAGCGAGTGCATGCATCCTACAGCAAAAGAAAAAAAAACAACTCCCCCCCCCAAAAAAAAAAACAAAGAAAGTTTTTTAGGCCAGAGAGGTGAAGCCCTGCGCAGGCCGGGATGAGCTGGTGTGCTAGCTGAAGCCCTCCGCGCGGAGTGGGAGGGTGTGGCCCTGACCCCGCTCTGCCCGTGGGACCTGGGCAAGTTACTGGATCTCAGAGCCTCAGCTGCTTCCTCCGTGAAACTGGGAAGACAGTACGTACACTCACCACGCGCCCGGAAACGCATCTCGTGCTCAACACGCTTGTGTGGGCACTGCCACTTCAAAGTAGAATGCGTCAGTGCAGCCTGTGTGTGTGTATGCACATGCGTGTGTATGTTTATGTGTGTGCGTGTTTATACACGTGTGTTTGTGTATGTGTGTTTGGGTGTGTTTATGTGTGTGTTTACATGAGGGTGTGTTTATGTGTGTGCTTATGTGTATGTATGTGTGTGTTTATGTCTCTGTGTGTTTACATGTAGGTATGTTTATGTGGGTGTGTTTGTTTATGTGTGGGTGTGTTTATGTGTGTGTTTGTGTGTGCACGTGTGTTTGTGTGTGAGCATGTGTATTTACGTGTGGGTGTGTTTATGTGTGTGCGTGTGTGTGTTTATGTGTGGCTGTGTTTACGTGTGTGTATGTGTGTTTGAGTGTGTTTATGTGTGTGCTTACATGTGGGTGTGTTTATGTGTGTGCTTATGTGTATGTATGTATGTGTTTATGTGTTTACATGTGGGTATGTTAATGTGTGTTTGTGTGTGCACGTGTGCGTGTTTGTGTGTGCATATGTGTGTGTTTACGTGTGGGTGTGTTTATGTGTGTGTATGTGTGTGCGCATGTGTGTGAAATACCCTTTTGCAGAGGTAGTAGCTGTGAGAAAAGCCCCAGACCGTGCCAGGGAGTCGCAGGGCCGCACCCTCACCCAGCCGGCCTGAAGTGAGATCGTCGAGCATCCCCAGGCCCCGTGCTCATGTCCCAGGGGAGGGAGCCCACGGCACTAAGACGGGGACACCGAAGGCTGCGGCGCGAGGGCAGGAGGCGCACCTCGCCTGCGTAGCGGTTACGCAGATTCAGGGACGCCATGAAGCTGGAGTAGTCCTTCTTCACGCAGGCCGGGCGCTCGGTCAGCTGAGTCGCCTGCGGACAGAGGATGACGGTTAGTGGAGACTGCTTCGACACACCCTCCTCTCACGTTCCCCACGGCTAAGCCTGGGCCCAGTTAAGAAGCTCAGGTCTGGGGGTTATCAAACATCTCCAAGGGGCCGGCAGGTGGGGTGGTGCTGGGGTGCTGGACTCCCACATGGTCAACTGGGGTTCGAGTCCCGGACCGGCAGCTTGCCTTCTCACTTTCCCTTTCTCTCTCTGTCTGGCAAGTAGAAAACAAGCCTATCCTGTGGCCTAGTGATTGAGGCAGCTGGGGTCCACATGGTTCGAGACTTGGCACCTACCCCGAGGGTCGTGTTCTGCTTGTTGTAGCCGGCAAAGTGAAGGATGCTCTCGGTGGCCATGGCCAGGCCCGTGTGCTGGGACAGTCCTGACACCCAGTTCTGGTGTTTATTCAGATATTCCTGAAATAGAAGCAAAGCGTGCGATTTCACTTGAAGGGCAAATGAAAACTGCACCTTAGGGTGTGGAGTGGCAGGGCTACTCTGTCGCTGGGTTTCGCCACCAAGGGCTGTCAGGGAATGAAAGCCCCTCTCTGACTGGCTACCGTTCCCCTGCAAATGAGGACAAGGTCCGATTCCCAGGGGGGCTGTCACCCGTGTGGTGGCACCGATGGGAAAGCACCTGCTTGCTGAGCTGCTGCCGGCTCTCAAGTGCTCTCAGCTGCTGGGGCAGACACTGCGGGAGGCCTGCGAGGGGCCCCGGCGTCCCTTCCTTCTATGACTGCTGCCCAGGGGTGGGTGAGACAGACAGCAGGGCGTGGGACAGGCACCCAGTGGAAGGACGGTGCTGGCGCAAAGCACACCACACACAGCTCAGAGAGCAACGGGGCCTCCTGCACCATCGGGACAACGGGCAGGGCCCCAGGAACGCCCAAGTACAAGGGGCCGGGAAGTGAGCCGAGCCTAGGCCAGGACAGGCCAGGTCGGAAAGGCCGCCTGGGCCAGGCAGAAGGTTCGGGTGAGCCGCACGGCCTCTGAGTAATACACGGAGAGCTCTGGAACCCAGTCACGGGCTCCCTACTGAGGGGAGCTGGGTAATGATCAAGTTTAGACATGGAAGCTCCCTGGCCAGACTAGCTATTAAAACTGGACTACATGTGTGGGTGGCATGGAGGACAGCTCGGGGAAGGTCGAGGCTGGAGGCAGAACAGGGTCCGAGGCTAGGCAACACATCAGCACAGGAGCGGGGCAGGGGCTCCATGGGAGTGGACTCCAGGGGAGAGGGAAGAGGAGGGCGCCAGGGGACGGCTGGTGGGGGATATTCAGGCCATTTTGAGCCTTTTCATTTTCTACCCTCTTCTTACACCAGGCCTCCCTAAGAAAATGAAAAGCCTTCTCCATCGGTCCCTTTCTGCCCACTGAGACTGTTCAGCCGTTAAGGAGGACGTTCCCTCTCTGGACCACGGCCATGGGAGCTGACACCCTCTTCCTCTATGGGAACTGAAGGACGCAGGCATTTCCCAGCCATCAATAGGAGAATTCTAGCGAAGGGGAACTTAGATAGGTACATGTCATCAAATGGCAGGCGTGCTCGGTGACAGGCCCAGCTTTGGCCAGCCCAGGCTGTGTGTCTGCCCCACAGAGGGTCCATCTCATCCTGCTAACTGCTCAGCCCTGACTGCTCAACAGCTCTGTGGAAGGAGGGATGCGCCCACACCCTAGGCACCACCCAGGGGCTTGCAGCAAGCCCTGCCAGACAGCCTCCAGGGCTCTGGGGGCCAGCTGCCTCCCCCATGCCACTCCCAGGAACATTCATGAACTGGCCTCGCCCCAGGAAGTGTGGTCAAAGGCGACTTCACGCTCCCGTGTCACCGGCTAACCCGGTTTCTTTCTTCGAGTGGAGTTCTGTTATCTCTACCCCTGCTCCTTTTTAAGAGAGGTTTTTGCCGTAGGGTGTATGTGCTCACCAGAGAGACAGAGACAGAAGGCGAGACATCTCCCCCGGGGGGGAGGATGGCCATGCTACAATCTCCTCTGCCATTCTCCTCTCGGGACTTTGGACATGCACGTACACACACCTGAGAATTAACCTGCCAGTCCGGGACTCGAACCATGGTCAACTACGTGGGAGTCCGGCGATGTAACCATGATGCCATCTGCTGGTCCCTCCCTAGCCCCTCTTAAAGGGGGCCTCTCCCCTCTATCCTGTGGCATTTCTCTGGTCTCTGGGGCAGCGGCCCACCTCCCCGTCATGCGCACTTACAATCCAGTGCTTTAGTCTGAAAGGACTGACAGGCTCCCGGACAGCCGTCTACACAGGCCGCACCCGGCCCCGGCCTCACCAGCCCACGTTGCACTCTGCACTTGGCCTCCGAGCTGCGGCCACACCTGGTGGCCTCCCACACCCACTGGCCGGGCCTGCCCCTGGGCTGCCCTGTCTGTGAGTGACAGCCACGTGTTGCCACAGACCCAGCACCTCAGCTGCTGTGAGCGGCCAGGTCCCTCCTCACACCCAGGGTCGTGCAGCGCGGCCTCTGAGGCGGCCATTGCTCCTGGGCACTGACTGACGGCCTGGTCTCTGCCGGTTCACACGAGTGCTGCTGTATTTTCAATTCCGTGTGTAAAACTGGCCAGCCTGAAGGGGCTTATGGAGATGGTCCTTGGATGCTTCTAAGAAAGTACCTATCTGGGGACCAGCAGTTAGTGTAGTGGCTACATCGCTGGACTCCCATGTAGTCGACCGTGGCTCGCGTCCTGGACCTGGTGACTTAAACTCATGCCGGGCGTGTACGTGCGTGCCCAAGGTC